AAAAAAAAAAAAAATGAAAGCTAGTATTTCAAATTTCCCAAACCCAAGTTCATGGGTTAACTATTTGCTATGACAGTCACACTATTGGGGTAATGGAAAGGTAACTTCTTGTTGGCTTGGTGAAGTAAGGGAAGCGACAGGTCATAGATATGGCTGTAAAAGGTATCCAGATTTTCCAATGGGGATTGTGGGGAATCAACTAATCTAACTGTACATATTCTTTGCTGCTTAAAAAACGGGGGGAGCATTTAAAGACAGAGTTCAAATTCCAGAGCTAACAATAGCTTCCCACCTGACGAACTGCTTTACTTGCTGCAGAATAGTTCTCTTCATCATCCATATTTGAAAAGTTCCGAGCACTTGATAATCTTTCCAGAAGTGCTCTTTTCTGTGCCTGCATTTGCGCCAAAAAACACTCTGTCCCTATGATGAGAAATTAGAATAAAGAATTCTAAAAGTTGATCAGTTTCACACTGCAAAACGAAGATCGAAGAGGAGAGAAGCATGTACCATATATTTGTTCTGCCTTCTTGAAAACGCTTGCTAGATAACATCATAAAGCTGCCCTAGGCTTACTATAAACAATCTCTTCTAATATATTAGCCAGTTCCTCTAAACCCACCCTCAGGATTAGTAAGTTTTTCCCAGTAGTTTGTCCAGAGTCAGATAAGAAAAATTACTCATACAGAAGCAGCAGCTACTTACTTTTCTGATAGATCTATACCACCTAAAAGAAAAGTCAGGAATTGAAAACCTAAATGAATCATATAGATTCTCTGCTTTTCTTAGGCTATCGTTATAGTAAACATATTGATTTACCCCACAGTTCATTTGTTTTGATTTTAAATAATCCCAAGCGAAGCTAAGGGAGGTAGAAGAGGAGGGAGCTATCTCGAGGTTTTGCAAAACAACAAGCACTGGCATTAGTGAGCTCTTACCAATAATTCTAACAGAACTGTCACAATACAAATCATATTATTTGTCATTCTGCTGACATAACTCTGATTTGGTGAATTCACTGTGCACCAGCAATGCAGTTGTAAGTCTAATGTACCATGAAATCATGTCATGAAAAAATAATGCTTCCACAAAGAATGCATTCACTTTATAAAATTAAATAACTGGGAACACTTGCAAATTAAATGCCCTCCCACTTTCCTATATAGCGCAGAACCACCACCTAATTTCACAAATTACAAAGATACCAGGCTGAGGAGCTGGATAATCAATATGCTTTAATAAATTTAAGGTGTCAGTTACCAAGTCTCCTGAAGCCAGGTACAAGATCCACAAAAGTAGTGGTGCCATCACAAAGAACGGGGGCAAGACGTAATCTGAACTGATGCCCGAGGGTCAGCAAGTGATGAGCAATGTACATGCAGTTGTTGAAGTGAATGGCAGCCAACTGGGGCAGTTTTTGAAGGTTCTCCCTAGTGCAGGAGGAGGGGTAGAAAAAGAAAGAAATCACCTGTTACTGAAGTTGGGGTTGATGAAAAGTTGCTACTCTTGTCTAGGCTTTAATCATTGTCTGCTGTATAAATGCTGTGCATAACAAGATATTATCCCATCACTCTCACTCCTATTCAATCAGAGTGAGGTTGTTCTGCCTAAATGTGACCTTTTCCTATAAAACTATCCCAGTGGTTAAAAGAAAGAGGGAATTAAGATGTTTACCTGTGTCAACTCTTTGTATTGGAAACCTAGCATAGCTATATGTAATAAATCCCTTGAAATTTAACACTGATAAATCTGTGGAAATAGAGTTACTTCCCCTTTCTCCAAATTCCTATTTCATTTATATAATGAAGCATTTAACTATTTTCTAATTCACTAATTTTCAAAGCTGGCTACAGATCAGTCACCTGGGAAATTTAAAATATATATAATAGATGCTTAGACTTCACCTCAAATTAAATCACAACTTCTGAGTGAAGCCAGGCATTTGTACATTTTAAAATCTTCCAAGGTGATTTTAATTTTTATATAAGATCAAAACTAAATCTTCCACATATACTAGTCTCCCTACTCAGCTTGAGATGAGATCTTGTCTTTTACTTCTGCTATATATCCACTAGCAGTCATTCAAATAATTCTTCCTAGTTTGCTGATTTAATTAATGTCAGGCTAGGTATACAAAGTCAGAAACTAACAATCTAAGATAGTGGTCCTCATTATGGGCTACACATCAGAATAATTTGTAGGGCTTTAAAAAACCACAGATGTGNAGGTATTTTCTTCACCTATGAAAATGGCCCCTTCCTCCTATCTCAAGAAAGACATCTTCTTTGTTCTCAAAAAACTAAAGTTGGTTCAGGCAATTATTTTTTCTGTGAGTTCTCATAGTAGGACATGTTGAGTACAGACGAATAGCTTGTCATTAACCAGAGCTGAGCTCTGCTATAAAAAGAAAACCAGTCTTCTTCTTTCTTATTCATTTGTCTATAATCCCTAAATAGGTAAAAGAAAAACTAAACAACCAGAATGACTAGGGGTTAAGCCAGAACTGAGAATGAAAGGGCAAAGGCAGAACACCTCAAGGTAGGAGGAAAAACAATTTGCTCTATAATACATGCCAGGGATCTCGAAGGGTGTGGGGAGGGGAGGCCTAGGGAACATGCCCACTATACTGAAAACTTCCTCCAGACAGCACCGTCCTCAAAAGCATATAAAGCTCACACCCTTTACCCTCTTTTCAAGAGGAAACCATATTTCAGTATGAAAAGATACAATCCAGAGCCCTACACAGATCCAAAATAACCTTAACACAATATATACCTCCAATGGCGGCAAAGAGTTAAAAATATAGTAGGTTGAGTTGAAGGATTATTTATGTCCACCAAGTAAAGGATTAGGCTACAGAGCCCAGAGTTAGTGCCTCATGGAACATACATGCTTAAATAACACTGGCAATTTAAACCCTTTGCCATCTGATGAAGTGCAGTGGAGCTGGAAAAGGGAAAAAAAATAACCCAACCAAGAAAACAGAATTTAGATGAAATAGCAAAAATGCCAAAAATTTACACTGCAAGTCCTAGGAGTCCTAGGCATTCTGAGAAATTATCAGACAGTGTTAGGAATAAAAAAGATAAGTCAGTGAGCCCTCTGTGAGGATCATAAATGTCAATAAAAAGAATGGCACAGAAGGTAAGAAAACTTGGTCTCTTTTGTCAAAGCTCCCATGTTATTATTAAAGACACTCACCCTTAAAAGCATTATTTATTGGACAAAAATCTTAAAGGGAGTCTTCTTAATTCCTGCAAGGACAAATACGGTTTCCCCTACCCCCCAAAATATATATCCCATTTGCTCACAAATTCTTTACCCAGACTCTTAGAATCTCCTGGATTCCTTGATCCAAGGCCAGGGCTGACATTTACAATGGATACGGTTCCCAGAAGGCTCTGGAAACAACATGAAAAGATGCTGCCCTACAGTTTCTGATCAAGAAAGGGTGGCTAGAAAGTCAACAAACTAAGGCGCTTCACTTGACATCTTAACATCCAGTTCTCCAACACGGCCTCACACAGACCAGGAGGTAAGGTGTTCTTAGGTGAAGTAAGACTTCCATGATATATTGGTTTACCAGAACCAATGGGTGATTCCAAGAAGTCTCTAACAGGAGTAATTATGTCAAGAGAAGAATCCACATAGTCAAGACATGGCTTTCTTAGGAAGGTGGAGCTATTTAATTTTAGCAAGAGCAGCTGCTCTTCTTTCTGTGTTCTGG